TCCCCTTCCTTCCTTCTCTCTCTCTCTCTCTCTCTCTCTCTCTCTCTCTCTCTCTCTCTCTCTCTCTCTCTCTCTCTCTCTCTCTCTCTCTCTCTCTCTCTCTCTCTCTCCTTCCCCGCCATACCTGTAGCCCCTCCTGACGGCGTCGTCCACCTGTTCCTCGGTCAGGTCGTCGGTGTACTTGTTGATTCTGTACGTCAGTTTCCGCTTGTTCCACTTGACGCTGTAGCGGGCGAGCCTAACCCCGGCAGCAGGGGTGTCTGGGTCCGTCATGGTGGCGGGGTCAGACCGCAGGCACCGCGCCTCCCCCATCTTCTGGAATGTGGCATCGTCCAGTTCGCCTGCAGCGGACCAGAATCGAACATGAAGTGTAAATTGTAACAATGGAAAGAAAAGAATATAGACTTAATACTTTTAGCCATTGAGTATTCTACATTCTCTATGTCCCTAATGTTGTAGTTGCCTCCCCTGTATGCGGTACTAAAAGTGTGTGTTTTTGTGTGTGTGTATGTGTGTTTTCTGTGAGTTTTTGTCTTTATCTGTGTGGTGTGTGTGTGGTTAGTGTAAGTGTGCCTTTGTGTGGATAGTGTCTTTGAGTTGGTTGTGTGTGTGTGTGTGTGTGTGTGTGTGTGTGTGTGTGTGTGTGTGTGTGTGTGTCTCTGTGAGGGTGTCTTTTCTATACACACATCTGTATAGATTACGTAGTTACTAACGTACCAGTGACTGGCAGGCCGACTACCTTCTGAAACGTCTCAATGGCCTTCTTCACTTCCTCTTCCGGTCTGGTACCCAAACTCTTTTTCAGGTAGCCATAGTACTCTAGGTACTTTATGGCCTCGCTCTGAAAACAAAGAAGATTGAAATTAGTCTGTGCTGCAAGATATATCACAATGAGCATTTAGTACGTCTTTCTAGTAGTTTTTGTTTCAGAGGATACGGAGAGCTGAAAACCTCTCAGATCAAGGTTTGGCAGAATGACGTAAATATGCCGCAAAAGCACCACGAGCCTGACCCTATATCTGCTTGTAGATTAGCCGACAAGGTGCCACCATTACACGTAATAAAACACTTAATACTGTTTTGGAAAAACTATCATCAGTTGGTTCAGCAATGTTAGAGACCAGGTGGAAACAAAATAGGAATGTTTAAAGCAGTTTAGGATCAAACGTGATACACTGGTATTCACCTTTGTTTATTTGATACCCCATGCATCCGTGAAAGGTCACCTTTGTAGGATGAAGCTTTAGATATTTTACTGAACAAAATTGTGCCTTATGTTACCTTTCAAGTCAAGACATGTTTGTCCTTCTATCACATTTCATTGCTCACATTGCTCAAAAAGCAACCAGTACGTGTGTTGTACATGTCGGATATTCGTGACGAAAAAACAAGGCCAATTTGTAAACAATTAAATTACCCCATGCATGTTTTCAACACGTAGGTATACCTACGGCACAGTACAGTGACACTGCATTTACACTCAATGAATATCGCTAGGCAAAGTGACAAGGTAAATTTAACTTCTCATGTAAAACAAATGACCAGAAATTATACGTATTCTCGATCCGATCTTTACAACAGGGACCGTTAACGAGTGCTTTTGAATGAAAAGGCTCCAGTCAAAACAAGCCCTTAACGAAATGAAAGCCGACACCTCCGGCTCTGAAGTGTATCAACAAATTACGTCACCTTAATGTCTGGCTGTCACGATACAAGCCAGCCTATGTACATGTACTAGACGGACACACAAATGTTGTAGCCCCTCCCCATTTTCTTTTTTTTTCTGTGTAAATGTGCCTCATGATGTTAGTACCTAGTCATTAGTGAATATAACGTACATGTAGTTTTGAACACGACATAAAAATTTAGCAAAACCCGACTATGAACATAAGCTAATATCTCAGAAGAGGTAACGGTGTTCACATATTTTAAAAATTCAATCCAATATTTGCACACTTCAGTTCTACCTATTTTCAGCTTGAGCTCTTGAAAGACTCGATACTTGGGGTTTTAGATGTACTAGTACCGTTTTGTTCTGAGACTTAGCGTTACTAATAATGTATGGTACGAAACCGCCGTTTCCCGCCATCAGGCTATCGCCACGCCCTTTTCCTAGCGGGCCTTTTGTTTACGTCTACAAAGGTTAGACATGCAGGTAATGACTACATACTTTACACACAGAATACAGTTAGTCAAGATTTTGAAAACTATCAGATGTTTCAGTTACAGACGAAAAGTAGAGGATGCTCACCTGAAATGTCTGCAGTTTTTCAAAATCTATCCAGTCATGACCTCTTGTTTAGTTCAAGTGCAGTAGTACAGCTATACATCGCAGGATATGTTCTATGCATTAATTTGTGCGAATGCTATAAGGTGTTATTAGATGAGACTGACGTATACGTACCATCTGATCCATGATGTAACTAACGTGTGTGTGTGGCTGGCTTCAACAGGTGAAAATGACGACGATCGGGCGGCGACCGTACGTGTAGTGGCGCGCGTGTAGCGTACCTGCTGTAGCGTAGCCGCGTAACCGGATCCGGGTCGGTTCGCTTCACCTGTGCCGATGACCTGTTAGTCGCCCGCGGCGTAAAATGGCGGGCAGGTGTCGTATTCACCATTGCGCCAAACACGGTCGCGCGCAAAAGGGAGTTTTTTTTTTAAATCCGGGTCACAGAAAACAAAATACAGACATAGTGTAACTGTTGCCGCATCTCAAGTGAACAAACTTCATTATATTACCATATATATGAAATCTCTCTCTCTCTTTCTCTCTCTCTATATATATATTACATATATGTATATAGCACATATAAAGCAAAAAAAGATAAACACAAATATGATCTAAGATGTAAGATTTGTTAATACATACAACAAAATCAATTGTTTAGCCATTTTCCACCGCTCAAGAAAACAGTATAGTATACATTACCATACAACATGAATATGATGAATATTTTAACGTCAAAAACAATGCATAAATTCTGACAAAAGGTATACATATCCAGCCAATTTTCGATCAATTTTTGACTAGCCTTTAGCAGGCCTTTTCCATCGCTCGGTAAAACACAGCACAGTATACAACAACCGATGCATACGCATGAAATACTACACTAAATTGTTAAAATGGCTATGCACATGGGAGATATCATTCATGAAAATGGATCGTTGACTGACATAGTACAGTATGTAATATCGTGCAACAATACACATGAAACAATAGATATATTCTTAAAATGCTATACCTATATATACATATATTATTAATCAAAATAGCTGACACATGACTAACACATTGAAAAAACAACAACATCTGTTTCCCTTTTGACACGGACAACAACATTTTTGTTGTTGCGAACCGTTGTGTGTGGTGTGTGTGTGTGTGTGTGTGTGTGTGTGTGTGTGTGTGTGTGTGTGTGTGTGTGCGCGCGCGCGCGCGCAT